AGCTGTAAAGCTATGCTTAGCAGTATCAAAGTCTACAATACATACTCTCATCCAACTCAACACGAGGATTGTCTCTTCTGGTAACAGCAGAAGGTAACTTGTTTATGGTGTGGCAAGCCACACTGCGGCCTCCCACCACAGTGATACCACCTTCATCTCCATCCACATCAAAGTCAAATCGATGCACACCTGATACAAAGTCCTGAAACATCACCATTAAAACAGATGAATTATAAACTCATTAACCAAACTAAGTGAAATAAACCACTCTTCTATTTTGTAATACTGGGAAATATAAAAAACTATAAATCATTTTGCATAAATGCATTTCACAATACTAACATACTGACTGGATCAAACTCAGGAAAGCAGCAGGCTACTAAACTGATATTTCTCAAAAGCATAAATTAATGACCAGGAGACAACAAATAAGTAACAAAGTGGTAAGAGAGAGTATTTGATTAAAATCTTTAAAGGAAATCAAGACTGGAGTGATCTCATTGGTGAAAGTACTCTGTTGTTATACTATCTTCAGATGCAAGCATACAATCAGCATATCACATATAAACACACAAGAATAGCATGGACATATTTTCAGTTTGAATGCAGATGACAACCATAGAAAAAGACAATAATTACTGTCCAACCATTTTTTAAAAATGTCATACTGACTGTATACATTTTCATTATATTAAGTTACACACCTGGTAAAGATAACCATAACCATCAACCCATTCCTTGGACTGGTAACACAAGGCATACATTACAGCAAATGGCAACCTATTCCTTTGGTTGGCACTACTGTGAACTGCCCATAGGTAGCAGAAGTTACGTGGGTCATCACATGGCTCCTGGAATCCAAATGAAATCAATGGCAGGGGATCCTGCATGGTTGGGCTCATGAACCTGCAAACAATGAGCAATTGCCATTAATTTTCTCCATAAAATGTAGAACGTACCTAAAAACAAAGTGAGATGCCATGAAAAATAAAAGGAAAGACCAGACACTGACCCTAATATTTTTTCAGTGATAAAGAATTTGTGGAATAAAAATAACAAAAAGGTGTACAGAGGGGTGGAAATCAAGCTCACTTTTAACTGACACGAAGGACAATACTTATCCACTCAAGAGATTAAATTCCTTACACTGGAAATTAGTATGTGGCAAAATAAAACTATTAAAGCAGCATATCATATAAGATTAAAAAGCAGATGCATTTAGATTCAACTGTAAATAATAATCAGTTAAATCTTCTGATTAAACTATGAGTCAATTTTAACTTGTAAAACAATGCTGTCAATGAAGGTCACAAATTTAAAAACACTATGCAGCAGACATGTGTAATATGTGCATAACTTAGGACAGAAGAGCTGTCTCATGGACAATGTAGTCAAATGTGATAATAAAAAGGCTTTAAAACTCTACACCACTGCTTACTCCAAGGTCAGTTGCATTAGGTTCCATATCTGGAAACTCCCAAAACTAAAACCAGCCACTATGCTGGCAATGCGGGGGATGTATGTCACTGCTGTTACATCTACACGTCGCCTCGGCACATTGAACATGTTGCCATCTGGTAATGGTAGCAGAAACATCTTGTCAGCTAGAAATGATTCTGCAAATAATCAATGGCATGTAAGAGTAAAAATACACAAATCTCTGGAAACACCCTAAAATCCCTCTATTATAAACCTCAATACCATAAATAACAAAATATACCAAATCCTTGAAATACATCTCATATTGTGAGGAGATAAAAATCAAAACACATGTTGTGAAAGAAATCCTGAAAAGATTTGAAAGTATGATTAAGAAATTACAGTAAGTTGCAATTTATTCTGAAATAATTAACCAGCAATATTATAGTCCTGTGCTAAATATTGTACTCTTAACCCTTTCACTTATACATCCTCGATATCCTGGGCTAATGCAGGCCCCTGCTTCACTTGGGCTATTCCAGTCTGTAACCTGCGTAATTCTCTTTTACATTTTTTATGGTCAGTATGAAAAAAATTATTTAAAACAAATGTGATAATTTTAAAAATTGAAATGCTTGTGTTACATGACAAAAACTGTATGATGGCTGTCTTCTGGGTTGCAGTGCCATGTAGTCTTGTATTCTTGCACTGCAACCTACATGGCAGCCATCCTCGGACTCACCGCCATAGAAACCCTCAAATCCTCCATAAAACTGAAATGTTTAGTGAAGTTAATGTGTAACTGAAGTAGAATGGAATGGTATAAACTTATCAGAAAATAGCATGTTAGAAATAAGAATATTATATCAGTGCCTAAATATGACAACAAAAATCTAAGTATAATAAGTAAAATAAACAAAACTGCCATATAATTACATACATACATACATACACACACATATATCTTTATAACATTCCATGGATCCATAAGATAGTCAGATGACAATAGGATGTGGAAAAAGTCATAATAATAATAATAATACAATACATTTTATAAAGTACAAATCATACTATTATATAAATTTTACATAATGCAAACAAAGGGTTCACCTAAAGAAATGATAAGTTACAAATAGATTTACCCATTACACACATAAGAAAATTTATCACTTAATTGTAAACAACATAAATTCATTGACAGAGTAAAAGGAGTGTGTAATTAAATATCTTTTTAATGCTACCTTAAATTGCTCCTTATTTACAAGACTTGTGAGACTTGATGGTAGACTGTTGAAAATTTTGATTCCTGCATAATATGCACTCTTCTGAAAGCATGAGAGGTTGGCAACTGGTCTATGAAGCTGATTTTTATTCCTTGTGTTGACACTGTACAGCAGAATTAGTTTGAAAGAGTTCTTGGTTATTTACAATAAAGTTTATTAACGAGAATATGTATTCACAAGGATCACAAGGAAAAACTAAGATCTCTAATTTCTTAAACAGACATCTACATGAATTCCTAGGTTTGACACCAGCCATTAATCTAACAATTTTCTTTTGTAAAGTGAATTCATTTTTGCTCTTTGATGAATTACCCCCCAAAATTATTCCATACTTCATTATAGAGTGAAAATAGGCAAAATATATTGAAATGAGTGTGTCAGTGTTGCTGACATGCAACAGAGATCTAACTGCTTAATATGCTCCACTTAACTTAGGTATCAGTTTATCAATATGACTTGTCCAATTTAGGTGATTATCAATTTGCAAACCCAGGAATTTTGTATTTATTGACTCTTGTATATACTTTCAATTATAACCAATACTTCAAGCATATTGTGGCAAGTTATTTGTTACAAATTTTATTATACTAGAGCAGGGCACTCCTTTCGGAGCGCATTCTCTAATATGATATTTTACTTCCTTACTTCGCTGTTCTTAGTCTGTTAAATTTCTACGATCTAGTATTCGATGAAGACGTATTGTTGCTGTTAAAATACTATGAGAAATAACGGAAGGAAATTTTTGAAGGCAATATACCAACACAACAAAGAGAGTAAAGAAATGACGTAACATATT